GTTTTATCTTAGAAGTACATACAACACCATATTTCTAATTTTCCTTAACACCAAAGTTTGTTTTATCTTAGAAGTACATACAACACCATATTTCTAATTTTCCTTAACACAAAGTTTGTTTTATCTTAAAAGAAGTACATACAACACCATATTTCTAATTTTCCTTAACACAAAAGTTTGTTTTATCTTAAAAGAAGTACATACAACACCATATTTCTAATTTTCCTTAACACAAAAGTTTGTTTTATCTTAGAAGTACATACAACACCGTATTTCTAATTTTCCTTAACACAAAAGTTTGTTTTATCTTAGAAGTACATACAACACCATATTTCTAATTTTCCTAAACACCAAAGTTTGTTTTATCTTAGAAGTACATACAACACCATATTTCTAATTTTCCTTAACACCAAAGTTTGTTTTATCTTAGAAGTACATACAACACCATATTTCTAATTTTCCTTAACACAAAAGTTTGTTTTATCTTAAAAGAAGTACATACAACACCATATTTCTAATTTTCCTTAACACAAAAGTTTGTTTTATCTTAGAAGTACATACAACACCATATTTCTAATTTTCCTTAACACAAAAGTTTGTTTTATCTAAGTACATACAACACCATATTTCTAATTTTCCTTAACACAAAAGTTTGTTTTATCTTAAAAGAAGTACATACAACACCATATTTCTAATTTTTCTTAACACAAAAGTTTGTTTTTATCTTTTGATAATTGAAATATTTACATACAAATGATTCATTAAATAAAACAATTTTGCAGGAAGCCCACACTCAAATACTTCTTTGTATAATCAACAACACTAGGTGGCATTGTTTGTAGGTCATTTATAAAGTCTCCTAGTTTTACACCTGTACGTACACAACTAACGAGTCCATTTCCTTTGCAACAAGAAGCCACTTTTAAGCAGCTAATAAACCTTATTTACTGTTAAGTCTATAATTTAAACTGTGCTTCTTCAAGAATCTCTTGAATTTTAATGACTAACTTTATACCTAAAAACAAGAACACATCATTAACTTACACATGCTGTTTTTAAGTTTAACAATCAGACCATAAGCTCACAGTTTTAACCATCTGGATAGTTTATTTACTTTCTAGTTTTTATCTTTCTCCAGAATCATCATAATTAGAACAAACCAGCATTGGAGTTGTACCAAATAAAGCCTTAAACAGTATGTTAAAAATATTTTGTGTATATTTTATTTATAATCTTTCAGTCATTACGAGTTTAAAAATTCAAGCTATTTACATCATTTTGAAGCTTAGCTCCTACCCTTTATAATGTTTCTTAAAAGTTGGTTGTTCTTAGGAACAACCATCTTTTTTAAACCCACTCGTCTATGAGGCAGGAAGTGTAAATTTGCAATTTAAGTAAATTGTACGTTTCTTAGTTTTTGATCTCCATTTCCTTGGAAAATCATAAATTAAATTGTCAGTTCATAAATGTCACTAGTATTTCTATACTGACACTTTGACTGAGAAACATACTTGACTCATTAAATATGCGTGACAATTTGGTTCCCCTTTTTATTAAACAGACTGATTATTTATTAAATTCACATGTTAATTTATGAAATGAGTTCAACAACTTACAACTCTGCACTTCATTTTACTAAACTACGTGTTTATTTTCTACAACAACAACTTATAAATTTACCAGATGATTTAATAAAAGAAATGAAAGATAATAAATTATGTACATACATACATTTCATAAATCAACAAATATATTTCTCAGTCATCTTGTCAATTTACAAGTAGAAGCAATATTTACGAACTATATATGCAACATTGCTTGAATTGCAAACAATTTAACTTAATTACAAAATTACACTTTGCACCTCGTATATTACTATTAACACAAAAAAATATATATATATATATATATATATATATTAC